TTGAGTAAACCCCATGCTCAAGCAGTAGTGAGGGACACCTTGCCTCAGATATCCCTTCTCTTAGATCTTCCACTTACCCTCCCCTCTGCACATCTCATCCTCACCCTGCCAAGTTCTCCCTCTCCCAGGACACAGGTGGCAGAATATGTTCTCTTCTGTGGTGGCCACTGATAGAACCACAAGAAAGGGCCACAAACGGAAGCACCAAAAGTTCCACAGGAACTTAAGGAAAAATTTTTTGACAGTGAGGGTGACAGAGCCCTGGAACAAGCTGCCATAGGAGGCTGTGGAGTCTCCTTCTCTGGAGATCTTCCAAACCCACTTGGACGCAGCCCTGTGCCACGTGCTCTAGGTGACCCTGCATGTGCAGGGGGGTTGGACTAGATGACCTCTAAAGGTCCATTCCATCCTTAAGGATTCTATGATTCTATGACACCTAGTCCCCCATCTCACCACACTCAGGACTGCAGCCCCAGCCACCCACATGGCCCTTTCTATGCTGCTTTCCATTCAAACATCCTCACTCCATCCGTGTCCTGAAAATTCAGCTGACCAAGTGGTTTTTCTCCTTTGGCTCCCGCTCTTCTTTTCTGCCCTTGCTTTAACTGTCCATTTGTAATAGCCAAGAATTTCCAAAACGTGATGGAAAATTAAAGAGCCGGTGCAGGAGCAAAACCATCCCTGCCTTGGAGAATGCCGCTTCCCTTTCCTGCCAGCCATCCTCTTTCAGACATGGAGAGCAAAAACCTTTGAGCCTTTCCAGCCACTCCATCACCCTGCTGGACTAATAACGTGGGCAGTTCAACTACACCTAGTTCCAGCTATTGAAATGACGGCAACAGTCTCCATCCCACAGGAACTGACCCCTCTACTGTCGCCGAGGCTGGTGGAAGTGCTGATGACATACGAACATTAGAGCCTGTTATTACTTTCCAGTGGTGTTTGCTGAAAGTGGGATCTGATGCAGAGCCAGGGGTGGAGGACCACAAGTGAGGGGCCTGGAGATGTGGGAGCTCTCAAGCCAGGGGAGAAGACAAGGGTGAATGATGGAGTGTGAATTATGGCTTTGTCCTGTGGGGCAATCCCTATTGGGCTTAGAGAACTATTGTCTGGAGAAGCTCCATTCAAAAATGCAGGATGTGGTTCATGGGCTTTAAAGGACCAAGAAATGAGGCCATCACAGTGCAGAGCACTGTGCAGAGCAAACGGTTTCCTGAGTCTGCAGAGTCTGCACGGTGGAAAAGTCCATGCGCGTGGCCGGGCCACCACCTGGCTAATCACAGGTCCTACAGGCTCCAGTCTTCTCCCTGGATTTATGAACAGCTGTCACATAGGAAATTTCATATCTAAGGTTCAGGAATGACCAGTTTCCTCGTTTTCATGCCTATGCTGTGCAACGGCCTCATTAATGCTCGGGCAGAGGTGTGGGAACAGGGGAACATGAGACGCCTCTGCTCTGCTGTGGAAGGGCTGAATGGGATGTGCATCCTTGGGCAGGTCTGTTTTCAAAAAGCAATTATTGGCAGGGAAGACGGCAAATCCTGCATTCCTCAACGAAGGAATCTGGCTGATGTCACCTCCTGACAGGAGCATTCCTGCAGCGTGCTCCTCCCTTCGGACAACCCCTTCCTTTGCTACAAATATTTGTTTTGGCTTCTTTCTTGGAAGCTTCCCATTACAAGGAATAACAGCAGGGTGGATTCTCCTACCGTAGGGACAGTTTCTGCCCCAGCACATTAGCACAGGCCACAAGTTAATAGAGGTTAACACATGCCAGCCAAGTTTTACTGTCAGTAGCAGCAGTGTTTTCGTTCAAAAATCTGTGTGCTGCAATACAGGGTCTAGGAGACTCAAACCTCTTCAAATAGAAGGTAAATCTCCTCCGTAGAGGAGGAGATCCTCCATAAATTGATCTAACCCAAATTTGCTTGAGTACTTTCTGTGTATATAAAGATTGCAGGCATGCAAATGTGCCTCCTGCAGTCTCATTTTCTTTCTAGCAGGACACAATCTTTGCAGATTGGATGGTCTGGAATAAACTGTCCTTTTGCCTGGAAGGAGGGCAATGCCCCACTGATGTTTCTGCAGGAAAAGGGTTGCAGAGGTATGTGACTGGCTGGTGGGGAGATCTGGAGGCAGGACCATGCCCAGTAGGATGCCTTCTCCTCAAAGGGAAAAGTGCAAAGCGTGGTTTGATAGCTATGAAGGGAAAGAGCATCTGTCCCACACCTGGACGGTGCTCCTGTCCCCTCCCCAGCACAGCGTTCTGCAAAGCATAACCATAGAGGGACAGGGAATGAGCCACCTCCAAGGTCATTTTTAGGACAGTTGGGTGGGATTCCATCACCCAAACTTGGGTGCTCACCACTGGGGAGATAAGCTGAACATCTGCCTGGCCTCCAAGTGCTGCTCTGGGACACAGTTCTCCTGTCTCCATGAGACATCTGCATGTGGGCAACCAGATAGAGCTGCAGGATCAGACTCATCTGAAAATCATTTCCCCAGACATCAGTTTCTCTACAGTGACTGCAAAGGGAGCCCTGGAGGCCTGCTGAGACGGAGACCTTGATGTTGCACTAAAAACAAGTCAGGATGAATCACACCCTTGGAATATTTCCTTGTGGAATAACATTTTACTACATGGTTTCAGGAGGCAGAGGTCCAAAAGCATGCCCAGTGCGAGATGTTGCCACCCTTGGGATTTACACAGTTATGAACTGAAGCATCTTGCTTTTTGCCTTGCTTTCATTCTTATCCCAAATGCTCCATTCAGATTTTTTTAACTATCACTGATCATCATTCCGAGATTCCAAGTTGGGAAGAGCTAATTCAGGTCTGCTATTTACAATGTCAGATAGAAATACATTTTATATATATATATAAACAAAAATATTATTTTATATTTATAAATATAATTATAAATTATATATATATATTATATATATTATATATTATATATTATATATATAATTATATAAATATATATAAATATATATATATATATATATCACTGTGACATTCTTATTTAACTATTTCCTGCTGCCTTACGTTTTAAATTACCCTTAAAGTTAGCTTTAAAAATGCCTGTTCCACATAGAGGTGCTGCTTGCACCTCGCTGTGCACCCTGTTTTCCGTAGCACCCACGACACTGGCTCAGGATCAACAGACACAACCAGAGCAGGCAGAACTGGTCACACAACAGGCTTCTCACAGCAGATAGGATAAATTGCCTCCTTATGGCACATAAGGACCTTGAAAAAGTATTCTCCGTGTTCACACCGAAGGATGCAAGGCCAGTTTGGCTCTCTTGCAGGATAATCCTGCCCTTCATCAGCTGCTGCTCCTCAGAGACCCTGGCTCTTGGGACACCAGAATTCCCGTCTAGGCAAGATCTCACACCACATCCAACAGTCATCCTGGGCTAAGATCCCCTTCAAGGTACAGTTTGCAAGCTCAGTCACTCCCCCCAAGCCCTCTGCAATGGAACTGGAAACTGTTAGAAGGGCAGGAGGATGTTTTGTAAGATGTTTGTGATGCTAGATTACTCCAAATCCCACGGATGTTAAGGAGATTTAAGTTGCTGATTTTAGGAAGACCTTTGTTATGTTGCTGAGACCCTAGCAAGGTCATAGGCAGAAGACGGATGAAAATGGAATTGAGCTGAGTTTTTGCCTCAGCTGAGGTAACATACATACATAGACATAGAGTGTACATACATAGAATGTATGGTACTGCCCTTGTATTCGAGATAAGATGATTTGGGTTCTATAAAAGCATATTTAAGAAATCACTTTTGGAGGTTCCCTAAGCCAATGCCTTTCACATCTGTGGATCATTTTGCTCTGCCAGGCCAAGAAGGCTCTGAGCATGGAAGAAAGCCACAGGCATCAAGGCCTGGCTTGGTAAGAATGATTCACTGCTGTGACTAAGAAGGGAAATTGACCCCATCTCCTGGCCCCTGCTGCAGCGAAATTGTGTTTTTTTGCGGTGAAATTAATGCAACCAGCAGCAAATAACAAGTACTTCACCCTGTCCTAATTGCAGCCAAAGCTGAAGCATGATGAAACCCAAGATGCGACAGAACTACAGACTGGCTTCCTTGGGGCTGACCATGGCCCTTGTTGGCCATTAAGAGATGAGGAACTTAAGGGAACCTCTTTGACCAGAGCAGGCACCAGGAATTTAGCAGAGCCTCCCAAGTCGCCACTGTGCAGCCTAAAAACAACTTTTCACAATTAGCACCCGCCTTTCATCAATGCTCCGTTGTTTTCAAAAGCTGCCGATAAAAGGGTTCAGTGAACATTTCAAGCTGTAGATAAACTACTGCCGGCCAACAAAAACACCATAAAACGCTCTGCATAAATCACACATCAGAGTTCATCCCCGCTACGACGGCTGTTAAAATTCTCTGGAAGAGGGAATGGCTACAAGGGAGCAGTGTCTGCCAGGAGTTTCTGCGGCCAGGAGGTCTGGGAGAAGGAGCAAAATGCAGTTCAAAAGCCTGCAGTAACTCAGCTGCCTGGAGGAGAGTTTTCTCACCTTCCTCCCACCTTGAGATCTCCACATTAGCTCTGCACACAGAGTATTGAATTTGCTCCACACCCACACACGTCCTGGCAAGTTTGTGAAACTGCTCATGTATTTGGTGTCCTAGACATGAAATCTCTTACAGAAAACCCTCTGCTTTCTCTTGCTGCTCCTGTCTGCTCTGGCCCTGAGGATCAGGGGGACCTTAGCCCTTCTTCGTCCATGTGCTCCCATTTTCCAGTGGCAGCTCGACTATCCATGCAATAAAGACATAAACAAGCTTATATTGCAAGCTAACCTTAAAAACCTTAAAACCTTAAAAGTAATCCCCACCATGGACCCACTGACCACAGACCATGCGCTGATAGAAAGGACCAAAACAGGAGATCAAAACCTTCCCCAGGATGTCCTGGGATCGCAGTGACAAATCCCGTTCCGACTGTCAATCGCTCAGCTCACATCGTGAACTCACCAGGCAGCCCCGTCCTCCCTCGCTGGCCACCGAATCCTTATCCAATGTCCAATCCTACAGCAAGGCAAAGGAGTGAGAAGAGGACTGTCTAGGGAAGCTCTGGATTCATCTCTGTGCCATGATCCAGGGCGAGTTTCAGCCTCCTCAAACCTGAGCTTTAGCTCCTATCGGACACGACACCAAGCAGCAGGGAAGAGCTCCGAGCCCTGTGTGCCCTGGGGGTGATGCCCATCTCACGGGCAGCGCTGAGGGAAGAGGGGGCATCAGCCCTCTCCATCTCCAGAAACAACGTCGTGATGCCGCCGCTCTCTCCCTGGCAGCTGCTGCACGATACTGGGATGATGCTCTTAAATAAAGACCTTCCCGCCCGACCCTGGCACACAAGGAGGGTCGAGCCTTGCGCACCTCGTGCGCTTGAGAAGAGCTTTGTGCGAGCGCAGGGCCCGACGCGGCCACATCCTGCTGGAGCCAACCTGACGAAACGCCTTGTTTTTCCCTCAACAAAGCCGCATTGAGGCAGAGCCTCGCACAGCCGGCCCCGCGCCGGCGGGTGCCCTTGGAGAAGTCGCTACATGAGGGCAGAGCCCCCGGATCGCTCCGTGCCCTTGGCTCGCTGCTACTGCAGCAGCTGCTGCATCTCAGGATTTGGGCAACGGGGCCGCACAGGGGGATTTGTGGACACAGGCCTCACGCTCATGTGTCCCCAGGCCAGGGGACTGGCCTCCATCATGATGACAGTGGTGGGGAGACACTGTGGGAATGACAGAGCTTTTGACTTAAAACATCTGAGGTGTCTTTGTGGAGGCAGCGTGCGATTTACTGTCCCAAATAGAGGCACTGCAGTATGTTGTTGACCATAGCAGGTCATGCCTGAGCTCCAGCTGCCCCTGCAGAAGGTGATTGTCTCCCATGCAGACATCTTGGAGGGCTGGAGCATCTTGGACGGCCCTGGACCCCTACTTGTGGGCAACTGGATCCACCTTTGGGTGTCCCACCCCAGTTATGGTCAGTAAAGCAGCCCATGGAGCCCTGGGTCCTCACAGAATAACAGAATGGTTGAGGTTGGATTGTCTATTCCAAACCCCCTGCTCCAGGAGGGACACCTACAGCATGTGGCACAGGGTGGCATCCAGGCAGGTTTGGATGACCTCCAGAGAAGGAGACTCCACAGCCTCTCTGGACAGCCTGTTCCAGGGCTCTGTCACCCTCACAGGAAAGAAGTTCTTCCTCATATGGAAATGGCACTTCCTGTGTTTCAGTTTGTACCCATTACCTCTTGTCCTGTCACCATCCACCACTGAGAAAAGTTTGGTTCCATCATCTTTATATTCCCCCTTCAGGTATTTATACATATTGATAAGATTCCCTCTCAATCTTCTCCAGGCTAAACAGGCCCAGCTCGCTTCATCTTTCCTCATAAGACAGATGCTCCAGTTCCTTAATCATCTTTGTCACTCTAGGCTGGACTCTCTCCTGAAGTGTCACGTCCCTCTTATGCTGCGGAGCCCAGAACTGCACCCAGTCCTCACCAGGATTCACCAGGCTGGGTCACCCAACAGTGTGACCCAGACCCAGATGTCTCCCAGCACGTTGCAAGGAGGGCTGGCTATCAAACCTGAGGCTGTGCATGGGAGGCCAATGACCTGCTTTCTCCATGTGGGCAACCTCAGGGGCACCAGACGTCGGGGTTGAGCTGAGCTAAGCTGTGCTCCCAGCTGCAGATCCCTGCTGTTGGACCCAAGATCAGCCCCTGAGATTCAACCCCTAGAGATTCAACCTCTAGAGAAACCCTAAGGAACAGGGAAGGCCTTGCAGGCCCACAGTGTCATCTCTCCCTTTCTTTCCTCTCTCCCTTCCCTTTGGAGATGTTGTGGCCATGCGAGCAAAGGCAAAGGCTGCAGAAAGCCCTGCGGATGCGGCAGCGCTCGTGGGGTCACCAGACACATGCCGGCTTGCGGAGGAGAACGCCGGCCCTCAGAGCAGGCCCCTGGTGGCTGCTCCGCCCAGCGGCCGCTCGGGAGAGCCGGGGGAGCCCGCGGCCCTGAACGGAAACGAGGACGTTTAACTTTGCAGTCAACTCTGGTAACTATTTCTGCCGGTGAGCACGGAGGAAAGGGCTAGGCCGCGCAGCGCCATTGTCCTGGGCGGGAAAGAGAAAACAGGGATGATAAAAGTGAAAAACAATCCTGAAGGAATTTGACTCCCATTTGCTTTTGAAGCTGGGTTTGTAAAGGAGTGAGTTGTGGCTGTTCCAGTACAGCCTTTTCCCAAGGCTTCCTAATCATGTCTGAAAGTGACGGGGAATCACAGAATAACAGAAAGTTTGAGGTTGGAAGAGACCTCTGGAGACCATCTAGTCCAAACCCCTGCTGCAGCAGAGACACCCAGAGCACAGGGCACAGCATCACATCCAGGCAGGTTTGGAAGACCTGCGGAGAAGGGGACTCCACAACCTCCCTGGGCAGCCTGTTCCATTGCTCTGTCACCCTCACAGCAAAGAAGCTCTTCCTCACATGGAGATGGAACTTGCTGTGTCGCAACTTACACCCATTACCCCTTGTCCTGTCACTGGCCACCACTGAGAAGAGTTTGGCCCCCTCCTCCCTACATTCTCCCCTCAGGTACATATTGTTCAGATCCTCTCTCAACCTTCTCTTCTCCAGGCAAAACAGGCCCCGCTCGCTCAGTCTTTCCTCATACAAGAGATGCTCCAGTCCCTTAATCATCTTTGTCGCTCAGAGGTCAAGCTGAGTTTGAGGTTGGCTTGACCCTACATCAACACAAAGGGAGAGACCGCCCAAGGCTTCGGACACTCTCCTGCCCTTCAAGTCTTCCATTCTGCTACCTCATCCCAGCCCTCCAGGAAGAGGCTGCCGGGAAGGAAACGGGAGCTCTCTGGAGCCGGGGCCGCCACTCTGGCCTCGTGGCAGGACCAGGGTGGATGAGCTGCTATTTCCGGGCCTTGTTCCCTGCTCTGGCTGTTTATTTTTCTCAGGAGAACGCGCTGAGCTCCTGGGCGGCAGCACCAGCTCGTGCCCTTCCTGCTCCTGACCTTGCATTCAAAAGATGCTTTTGCCCAAAGCAGATGCTTGCAAATCTCCAGGCAAAGCGGATGTTAAAAGCCACGGTCAAAAATAAGAAGGTCCCTCAGCCTTCCCCACATTCAAGCGAGCCTTTTCCCAGTGAAATAGGGATGCTGTGGGGAACTGACCCCAAAATCAAAGCTGTGCTACACCGTGGAGCAATTCCTCCTGCTCCAGCCCTCATCCTGCCACCCCCTGAGCCTCTCCTGGTGCTGTGAGCTCCTGTGCTGGTCCCCTTGCCAGGGGAGGCCATCTGGTGAGCAATGCCCCTCCGGGATAACTGCTGGCACCAGCGCTGTCTGCTGTCATTGTTCATGACCTGCACGATGGGATAGAGAGGCAGCCCCTGCTGAGGGAGAGTGGATATGATCTGCTATTCAGAGGAACCTCAAGAGGACAGAGCACAGAAGGAACCTCACACAGTTCAATGGAGATAAGGGCAGAGTCCTGCACGTGATGTAGAGTAACCCCGTGCCCAGGACTCCCTGGGAGCAAGTGGATAGAAAGCAACTCTGCAGGAAAGAATTGGGAGTCGTGGTGGGCAAGTTGAGCAGGGAGAGGTGGTCTAGATGATCTCCAGAAGACCCTGCCAACCTCAGCCATCCTGTGATACGGAGGGCTCCAAAGTGGCTGGAAATGCAAGGGGAGGCTCAACTGGGTCTGGCCAGCGTAGAGAAGGGAAGGGGAAGATCTTACCGGTATCTGCAGCTTCCAGGGGATGTTAGAGAGAAGGTCAAGCTAGACTCTTCTCAAGGACGTGCAGTGAATGCACAATTTGCAGTCAGGGAAATTCCAAGTGGATATAAAAAGAAATTCTACTCTATGAAGGTGATGAGGCACTGGCACAGGGCCCCAAGGAGCTGTTGGCATCTCCATCACTGGATGACTTGCTTTGGACATGGTCCTGAGCAACCTCATCTAATGTCAAAGTTGTCCTGCTCTGACACATGTGAAGGTCCTTTGGACTTAATCATCCTGAGTTTCCACAATTAACCCTCAAGATCCCCATCCATCCTACCTATCTACTGTCCCTCACAACTTCTTGTCACCTGTCCTGGTGGCTGGGGCAATTTGCCAACCTCCCCAGGGGGCCCCTCTGGCTCCTGAAGCAGAGAACAGAGACCTCAGAAGAGAAGCTGAAGCTCTGAGGATCCCTCCCGAGACCTTTCTGAGGGTCTTTTGCTGCCCACAAAAAGGCACCTCGTGCATTAGGGACATCCCAGGACACCAGAGACAGGAATTGGACTTGGCAAGCAGTCCTGAGGTCCATCCTCCCGAGGAGGAGCTGACAGGACACCCCACAATGCCAAAAACAACATCATCCCCCTCTGCATTTCTTTTCTCTTTTTCTCTTATTTTCCTGGAGCTGGGAGCAGAAACAACAGTGGTTTCTGTGGCTGGTCACCAAGATCTCCAAGCAACAGACAAGGTCAAAGGGAGCTGAGCGCCATTAAAGATGAACCTTGTGCTGCTTGTGTGGAAAAAAACCTCCAAACAAGCAATAAATTAAAGACAAAGAAATCAGAGCCTGCTGCAAAGCTGGACTCTGTAAAAATACATCCCTCCAGTGAAGCCGCGAGGAGCAGAGACCTTCAGCACATGCTGACAGTCCACCTCCGCAACACATGACAGATGGAGAAGGGGGTTCCTTATTACACACACCAAAAAGCATCTCCTGGTGTTTTGCTCCTGGAAGACATCCCAGAATTTCCTCAGCAGTAGCTCGCACAGCTTGCAGGAGCGAAAGGCACCAACTCCCCTCCTCGGCTGTCACTTTCCCTCATTCCCATCCCCAGCCGGGTTAAATGGCTTTAACCAGCTCCATTTGCGAAGGAGGGTTTTGGAGGAGGGCAGGTTGCCCTCCTGTGGCATTTCCAGGTAGTTTGGGCTAGAGGAGGAAGCGCCTCTCTCCCATTAAGCAGGGCTTAAATGCACTTATTAAGCCAAGCTCTTGCACTTGGAGGAGCCATTGGGGAAGGTCTCCTGCCTGGGCCACTAAGATCAGAGTTGGGAAACCAAGAAAAGCCCAGGAGCTTTTCCCAAATGGCCCTCTATGAGAGGTCCTGCAGCACCAGGAAAGGGCACTTTGGATTGGGAGGAGACAGAGCCCCAAGCTTGGCTAGTAAACACCTCCTTATCATGCACTGCTCGTGACATACGGGTGACAAAGTACCGTGTGGCTGCAAATGAAAGGAAGGGAATAATCCTGCAGCCCCTCGGCCCTGCAGAGCTGAGGAGGCAACATCTGTGGCTGCTTTGGTGCTAAGTTTTGGATGAGGAGGAAACCAAACTCCACAGAAAGCCGAGCGCATCTCTAAACTAGGCCCATCTAAAGACCCACAGATGTTAATAAGGAATAAAGGTTCGATAGAAAGAGATCCATCACT